TCACGCTAATATTTAGCGATGTAGTTGAGCCAATGTTACCTCTGACACTTGCAGTAGTAGTGGCAGGTGTAACCACAGTACTAGTAGAAAGCGCAGTCCCTTGGGCGGTAATGATGGTAGTTTGGGGGTGAGTACTTGGGTTGGTAATGACAGTGCTGTTAATCTGGATATTAGTTGGAGCTGTATAAAAAGTACGAGGTGCACGGATAAAATGCCAAGTATAAACAATGGAAAAAAAGCAGAAGAGAAAGTAACTCGCATTAATAACAGGTCCTGCTTGAAGTAAACGATCAGTGCTTAGTCTGGCAACTAAGGTATCATAAAGTCTTATCTTTGGTTACACTGCTGGTGGTGACAAAACTAAATTGCTGTGAAGGTTAAGCATACTGGCTCCTTATTACTGTCATACCTTCAACAAATATAGTGATGTCACTGAAGCTGGAGTAACTGGATACTGTAGCAGTGCAGCGGTAGATGATAGTGTTGACTGTGTCATTCTCAGAGGTGGTCAGAACACTCTGATAGTAGCCTCTCTCAGTGGAGGTATTTTGACTAGAATTGGATGGAGCATCCAGGAAGAAAGTGTATGCTTGATCTTTAGTAAATTCTCTTGTCTCTAGTATGGTTTCATTTTCTGGTTCAGACGAAATTCATTGTCCCAAATAGAGGAGAGATGGTAAGACGACTCCATTCTATTGTCATATTCGGAAGTTCCCCATCAACCTCAGCTCTGGCAGTACAGTTGACTGAGAACTGATTGTTTGGTGAGGTAGTGAGTGATTCAGGTGAGGTCTCTACTACCAGTAGTGGATCTAATGAGAGAGTGACATAAGGACATGATGGCTGGAAGGAGAGGTAAGTGACTCACTAGCAATGACAGTGATAGGTCCAACCAGAGGACTGGGTAGGTGAGGTGACAGAGCCACTATGGAGATGTAGTAGGTGACTCCTCTCTGAAGACCATCCAGTGAGTGTGTGTCTGTCTCTCCTCCAGACACCCTGTCACTGATGACTGGTCCTCCCTTAGGCTGGTAGTAGATGACATAGCCAGTGACAGGATCACCTGGTGACTCCCAAGACACAGTGATATTGACGTGTGTACTGTTGGACTCAGAGATGACTGCAGTAACATTGCTAGGGCTCTCCTGCAACTGTGTTAAGAAGTAGCTATAATACATAGCAGAATGGGATTAGAGTCTTTTTACCAGATATATTCATAGATTCATTAACTTGGGTAACAGATACATTCTGTCCAAGGTAATCTCCAAAATTGGCTCGGACTGTCATCAGCACATGTTTCAAGCGAAGCAGATTTTTCACACTCTTCTTGTTCCTCATCATCTGGTAAGGTCTCATCTGAAAGTGTTTCGAGAGAACTGGAACCACGTGCCCTTGAGAGTCCTGGAAGACTTTCCCCAGCCTCCAAGTCTTCATCATCACTGTCGTCTTCGTCTTTTTCATCTTCCTCCGGTATGTCTTCCAGAGTTGGGGAATGTAGGTTGATTTTTTGCGACACATTGCTCACAGTCTCCCTCTCTATCCTGCTACAAGTAGTGCCGTGCTGCTGTGTACTCAGCTGTGCTGAGGGTGGTACCCATACTAAACCACCGGTGCTAATGTCCCAGTAGTCATAGAGCTCGTCCGCATCGCTCATTAGGGGGCAGATGTACGGTTCGTCATCATCATCATTCTCGTACTCCTCAATCTCGTTTGAAAGAACCGTGACGAGCTTGCTAACCTCCTCCGAGAGGGTGCCATTGTCCCTCCCATTATGCCTGGACTCTAGGTTAAGAAGTCGGGTAAATTTCTCAAGATTCTCAACCAAGAAATGTTCAACGCTTTCCTTCATCATCTCGAGCTCCACAATAGCATCGATGCTAACGTTGTCCCAGTCAGATGGCTTTGGGCAAGAGTCGTAGTTTGCGTCACTCTGAGATGCCACTTGGTCGTCACTTGTGGTTTCAGTAACCCCAGGGCTATCATTACTCTGTGAGTGCCCCAACTCGCTCTCTACAGGAGCAGCAGCTTCTCCTTCACTAGAACTGCTCTCATTTTCATCATCTTCATCATCCTCATACTCTGCCTCCTACAAATTAAATCACTTTTAATACAGAAGGTTGTTAGTTTAAGCAATATCCGACCTTTTCATTGTGGGTGTGAGTTTCATTCAGAGAACTCTGGAATTCATTCTTCTTCCGCTGCAGTAGCAAAGGTAACATTTACTTCAAGGTATTATACATGAAGGCAAGGAAAAAACAAACCTCAATCATTGTCTCATCATCTTCAAGCTTGAAGTCTTGATTGGCTTCATCTGTTACCACTTTAGGCTATGGCATCAGAAAAAATAAACTTGATATCCAAATTTGGGTAACTCTTTTTAATTTCTTACCTCTTTCTGCAATCTCCTGTTTTGTAGCTCAGCCACTATGTCACACTCAGTATGGAGAAGCTCAGCAGCTAGCACAGCCCTGTACGACATAAGTGGTCTTTGGTCATGGATGTTTACTGTGACACTATTGAGGCTTACAAAAATCTCAACCAACATTATTATATTATTATGTATCTGGCCGAACAATGATTTAAATGCATGGTATTCTTGTTGCTTCAGGATCAGCTTTTCTGTTTCCTTACTTGTTTTGATAGGGCGTTTGTAATCTGAATATCGCATGTATAATATAGCTTTGCCCAAACTTTCCCTTCGTTCAAAAACCAATGTACATATGGGAGTATGCCTCGAATAGATGAGAGAGTGAAAAAGCTGGGCTCTCTGTGTGTGAGCACATGCACAGCCCTATTATACTGTTTTCAGACTTATGTGTAAGAGTCAGTGTTACGAGCTATAGTTCCTCCAAACACTAACGGTTCACTAGATGTAAATACGTTTGTGTGTATCTGCTTCAGCATGGCCATGCCAAGTTTGTTGTTTGAGTGTACAGTATGATACACAACATGGGTAGAAAGTAATTTTTCAAAGAGAGAGAGAGGAAGTGAAAGGAATAAATGGCCTCATTCCCAGGCTCTCCCTCTCCGCACGGTTCAAAGGTCATATGTTAACATTTGTGTGGAGGGATAGCCTGGGAACGAGGCAACAAAAGGATATTTACCAGAAAATTCTCAAGGGCGAAAACCTTCGTTTTGCTACCAAATGCAAATTTAGCGGATTTGGACTCGATTTCCTGCCTACACGAGAATTTTGTGGATAACCACAAAATCTTCAGTTTTTTCTCAGGCTACTGTGTTGTTTCTCATAAGAATGTTTACTTCTTGTCAGACAAAATGTTCTCCTCATCCCCAAGAGCGCATTTTCTAGTATGGTACTTGGGCATGCGCAATATGCATTTTGATATGCAGCCCTCCCTCTACCTATTTTCTCCATCCATTAAAAGCTCTTCCCACCCCCTCCCAAATACTTTCTTGGTGATCTTACCTTCTTTCTTCAACCAGACGCTCAATAATAGCAGCAGACTCGGCGCTAACCCGTCTCTCTTGGTCCATCAGTTGCTGCTTTACCACTACCTTGCTAGTGGTGCTGACCGCCCTCACTCCACACCCTTGGCCAATCTTCAAAAGAGCGGTAATTCAAGTATACTGCACTAAAAGAGTGACCGATTTACCTCCAGACTAGGGTTTGTGGCTCCAGTTCTGACCGGTGGATGGAGGACCTCGCTCCCTCCACGATTCCCCCAGTCGGTCGAAGCATTCGCAATCTCACATCTGTATCTGTCCGACTCAACACTGGAAGTCACCGGGAGAGTTGTGCCGTGTCTGCTCTTCACGTACCGACGGCCTGGTCGACGATTTGGTAGATGGTCTGGAGGTTTGCCGAGCGGCGGACGGGGGATAAACTCTCTCACTGTTGCCATTTCGACTCTAAGGAATAACGCTTAGGTGAAAGGCAAAAAAATGATTGCTTTGAAATGCTCCGTTAGTCGCAGAAAAACTGTGATAATGCAGAGCAGTCTTGTCGCACTGTGGAAGAACGCGAAAAGACAGAAGACGCGGTTGCGCCCAGCAATTTAGCGTCGCTTTTACGCATGCGCAATCAGTTACACCACGCGCATGCGTACTTGGTTGCTTGGATACATAACAATCAAAATGGCTAACGCTTGGTCCCTTTTCTCGCAGTGCCTGCCCCTCTCTCTGGCTCCGGGAGAGTATGCTTGGCGATGAAGCTGATTTAGAGGCGTGGTATAATATAAGCCTACCGAGACTACTGCATTGTCTAAAGACTAAGCTTACGGTGGAAGAATTCACGAGGATCGTTTGGTGGTTTAGCTAAGTCCTCCCACGGAGGTGCGCCCGCACCGAAGGTAACAAGCTTAGCTACCTATATACTCGCCTTCAACTTTCCCAGTTATATCTCGTTAGCCAGTCTAGAGCCACGACGGGGACTTTCGTCCTGCTGTTAGCTAAAGGTGAATATTAGGAAAAAGTTTCTTGATTGCTAAAGCTATTGTAAGTGTCAGTTGCAAACTGCAGAACACCATTTTGGCTGAGCAGATGTTTTTGTATGAGTGCACCACACCAGGTGACGATTACTCAGTCTCTCTCGCGAACAAGAAAACCCAAACCACCTCACTTTCTGGGCGATTGAGTTTGCAGATTAGATGGAGTCTTGTAGATGTTTAGCAAACTCATGGTGGTCAGTTTGCACCACCTCATCTCAATGCGTTTCTACACAATGCTTGCGTAGTTGGCTGCTTTTTAAATAGAAAAACATATGATGTACAAAAATTAGAGAAAATGTCCATGAGGTAAAAAATGCACGCATGCAACATGAAGGCACGATTCAGTAGCTCAGAGCTTGGGCAGTTTTGGCACGGCTGAAAGTTTCTCACTCTGACTCTTCTCATTCGCCTTGAGGGACGATCTCCAAGTGTGCCGGGGAGGGACCTGGGTTTGTAGAGTGGCTCTTGGGAAGTAGTGTTCACCGAGGTCAACCTGCTGGATCCTACAGCAGTATTGTATGCCTCTGAATCTACAATAGGTTGAAGGCTTTTTCCACGTTTGACGGAAGCGTATGAATAGCGTTCGTCCTTCATAGTTGGAGTAATCGGTGAGGAGCGCGACTGAAATCTCTTTCTGCTCATCACCCCCCACTCCGATTCTTCAATCACCTCATGCTTCTTGGAAACATTCTCGTGAGATGGTTGTTGCATTATTGATTGGGTGCTGCCCTTGGGAGACTTGGGTTTTTTGTGGAGTGGCTCCAAGGCCACAAGAGGTTCAGTGGTAGCGTGGACCGAGGTTGAACTGCTGGATTCAGAATCGCTAACAGCTACTGCTTTTGGCTCCATAGTAGCAGGTTGAAGGCTTTTGCCGCGTGTGACGGAAGCATACGAAATACATTCCTCCTTCATGCTGCCTGTAACTGGCGAGGATCGTGAGCGAAAAGTCTTGTTGCTCACCACATCCCAGTCTGATCTGTCTGTCACCTCGTGCTTTCTCTGCTGTGAAGTTTGCTCCATGATTTCTTGATTGTTGGCTCTGAGAGGCCCACTCCTTGTGGCCTTAGGCTTCAGGTTCATCCTGTTCATCTTGGCACGGCGTGGCAGCAGTGGTTCACGTGGTAGCTCCACCGGAATCGTAACAGGCCTTGACTTGGTTTGTCGGAGTTTAAGTTTCTCGTCTGCACTCTGCTTGTAGGGCGGGACTACCGCTTCTTCCAGATCACATCTTCTGAAAGAGGCCAAGGACTTGCGGACCTTAGATAGGAATGTGGGTGTGCGTTCACTCTGGCTGGAAGTCTCCTTCTGCATGTCACTGTTAGTGGTAATGCTGCTTGTCATAGCAGGGGTTTCAGGTGTTGAAGCTACAGTTTTGGTGGGATTGAATCCAGCATCTTCAGCAGCAGTCTCTTCATTCGGTTTTGGTTGAGGTGTCAGTGTGGCTGCATCCTCCACAAGAGAAACACTCTCACCCATACCCTGTTCTGGTGAATGCCGTGTACTGTCAGCCGTTTGGTCGGTAGGCACAGAGTGGCCCTCATCTGCTGTGCTCAGACTTGAAGTCTTGTCGTTCATGTAAGCCTCAAGTGTGGCAGTTTCAGATGCCTTGTCAGCGTCCCTTTCAAGGCGTAGTTCATCACCAGTAGGGGTTGGATCATCGGACTCATTTTCTCCCTCTCCTTGCTCTTGAGATTGCTGTTTTTCAGTTTCATATTGTGAGCTGTATGCTGTGTAGTCGGTAAGCACAGGGTTGCCAGTGTTCTGAGGACTTGAAGTCTTGTTGTTCACTTTAGCCTTGCCAACTGA